CATGAGAAATCAGAGACCATAAAGGGTTTTTTTGCCCCGTTCAAAGTACAAAAAAACATGGCAAGTTTTAAATTCTTAAATATTCAAGTTGTGATTTAAATCCAGCTTTCGTATAGTTGTATTACTCATATTCTTTACATTTGATGTAATATGGAGGCAAGACTTTCAAGACTGATACCGTGGCTGCAGGTTTGCCCATTTATTTTCGGGAATGTTTATCCGACTCCGTTGTCTAGTGTCATTTCTCTGGAACATGTGCTTAGGGGCATCTGAGAGCCTTGACCTGCAGTGAGGGGACAGAAAGAGTTCACACAGGGGCGCCTGGGTGGTTCAGTCAGTTGACTTTAGCTCAGGTCATGATCTTGTGGCTCGCGAGTTCGAGCCCCGTGTCAGACTGCTGTCAGCACAGAGCCCACTTCAGATCCTCTGTCCCCCTCTCTTGCCCCTCCCCTGCTTGCACTGTCTCTCTCTCTCTCTCTCAAAAATCTTCATATATATAAATATAAAAGAGTTCCCACAGCCCTTCCACTGTCCCTCGAGCGCTGGCTCATGGAGCTTACGGATCAGGAGAACAGAGGCCCAGGGGTCAGCAGAAAGGAACGCGGCCCGGTGTGTAAGCATGACGCAGGGAGATGTGTCCACACCCCAGGAGAAGGGCCCCGGAAGGGACAGCCCCACCCACACCTGGATCTGGACCTCCAGGCTCCAGGACCGTGAACCCACCCCGCTCACGGTGTTTGTTATGCAGCCATAGCGGACCGGTACGGGTTTCCCATGGTTGCTCAGGGGGCATCATTGGCTTCGCGGGCTGGTCCTGACTTGAGGACACTGCAGCCGCTGGCCCAGTGCTGGTCCCTGAGGGCCAGCTGAGAGATGGCAGTTGGCTTCCGGGTTGGCTGCTGCGACCCGGGGGCTGAGTCCCACTTTCAAAGACGGTCCGGCCATTGTCCGTCTGTGTGTTCAGTCTTCTAGGACTAAAAGGTGGGTCTTGGGTTGCGTCAGGGAGATACTTGGCGACCTCGTAAGAGCTGTTTCTGAATGTTCCGTAAGTTCGGTGGCCTCCAGGGCCTGGGGGTCTGGGAGGTGCTGGCAGGAGCTGCCAGGCCGGCGGCCTCAGCGGCCCCCGGAACGCACGGAGGCCACCCCAGAAGGCTTCGCCCGCACTCCCCATCCGCCGTGCGGGCCGTGCAGGGAACCCACAAGTTCACACGTCACACCTGCCGGCATCTGGGGCCACACGCGGCACACGTATGTCCTGACTGCCAGCTGCTGCTCTTGAGGGGAAAACGTTTAAACACCGGTAGCACGTGCACGCTGAAATAGACTTCGAAGTGCTTTTCCGAAGGTAAGAAGTGAAAGAGCTTTGGCCCTGCTCGTGCTGCGCCCAGCAGCCTCCCTCTGCTCTCCTCTCCTGTGTCTTTGTCATTCTTTGGTGGCTGCAGATCAGAATAGGGCTCCGCGTTCACGCTGTTGTACCTCTTTTGAAACGAATTAGCAAAACTCAGGAACAAAATGGTCTAGCAATGCTTTTGTGACTTCTGAACTATCTCAAACGGAGTGCAGATAAATTTAAGTATAAAATTGCAGAAAGCCCGAAACTCGGCTGATGTGTGCTGTGATTTGCTATTTTTTCCAAAAACAAAACAAAACAAAACAAAAACCCGATAGACGATGATAGCCTCCTTTGGCATGAGATGTCCTGAGTTGCTGAACGTGTCTTCACGGGGATTCACGTGTCGCATGGGCATGGGTCGTTTCCGGAGATTTTTGTGGAGGCCAAATGACTGTAAGTGTGGAGGCGCTCTGGAAAATACCAGCCTCACCGGTTCTGCTAGCGCTCCTGTTGATGTGACTTGAGCAGGAGGTACACAGAGTCCTCGGGGGCCCCCGTGCTGGCTCCCTGACCCCAACCCTGCCATGGGCTCTGGCTCCCACCTCCTCACAAGCTTCCCCACGGGAGCCTGCCCAGAAATGGCTGTCCCTGGGCCGTCCCGTGTGGCTCCACTGTTTTGTCCAGCTCTTGGGCTCCCCTCGTCCGTCTGCGTCACCCCACGTGCGAGGACACGGTGTGTCTGCCTTTCTCCCTGGGGACCTTCTGCGTTTCTCAGTTCCAGCCCCAGGAGGACTTGTCTTGTGGTCAGAGGTGCTCCTGGCCTGGGGACCTGAACAGACCAGGAGACAACAAACAGGTTTCCACTGCGCTTTGCGGGGCAAGTGACCCCAGTAAAGAACAAAGGGGCAAGATGAGCACATCTTCACTGGAATCATCTGGAAACCAGAGGCTCAGGGGACACGACATGGGACAACAAGAGGCCACCACTGACCTCATAGATGGGCAGCAAGGTCCTGGAAAGGCTGAGCCGTTCCCCCCCCCCCCCCCCCCCCCCCCAAGGGCCTGCAGCACCTGGGACGGAAACCAAAGGCAGGACTGAGTCTGAGGCTCGTGGGCCCTGGGCTGGGAGCTAGTGGTCCTGAGGGGAGCACGGCCACGGGGCGGGAAGACAGACTTGAGGAGGGTTCTAGAACAGGAGTCTAGCTTGGACTGTGGGATGATGGAATGTTCTAGAACCAGATAGAGGTGGTGCTTGCACACTGTTAAGAATGCACTAAAGGCCCCTGAATTGTTTACTTTACAAAAAATTATGGAGGCGCCTGGGTGACTCAATCGGTTAAGCCTCGGACCTCAGCTGAGGTCATGATCTCACCGTTCATGGGTTTGAGCCCCACGTCGGGCTCTGGGCTCACAGCTCAGAGCCTGGAGCCTGCTTCGGATTCTGTGTCTCCCTCTCTCTCTACCCTTCCTCCGCTCATGCTCTGTCTCTCTGTCTCTCTCTCTCTCCCAAAAATAAACATTTGAAAATTCTTTTTTAATTTATAAAAATTTAAAAATGGTTAACTTTATGTTCTGTGAATATCACTTCATTTTTATTTTATTTATCTGTTTATTTATTTATTTACTTTGAGGGAGAGAGACGATCGGAAGCAGGTTCCATGCCCAGCACAGAGCCCGACTCAGGGCTCAATCCCATAACTCCCGGGGTCATGACCTGAGCCGACATCAAGAGTTGGATGCTCGGGGGCGCCTGGGTGGCTCATCTTTCAGGCATCCAACTCTTGATTTTGGCTCAGGTCATGACCTCACAGTTTGTGAGTCCAAGGCTCACATCAGGCTCTGCACTGATGGTGTGGAGCCTCCTTGGGATTCTCTCTCTCCC